AGCACAAGGCCGCTTCCTCTGGGCGAGAGGCGCCGCTGGTACTCGGCGGGACTTGGGGCCGTAGAGGTGCGTGTTGGGCGGGCCTAGGGGAGCGGTCCGGTCCGGTCCGGTCCGGTCCGGTCCGGTCCGGTCCCGTCCCGCCTGGGGTGAGGGGAGATTCGGAGCGCTGGGCTGGCCTACCTGCTGTGCCTTTGCCTCAGAGACCAGCAGAGTCTCTGGCGGCTTCGTTCGAGAGTGGCAGTTGGGCCCTGAAGGGAAAATGAAGGAGGGGGGAAGGCAACGGGCACCCAGGCGGCTCAGTCCCTCCAGGTGTGCTTCCTAAAGAACGGAAGCTGGTAGCATTCTTGGCATTATAGTATCTGATGGCCTGTGGTTGTGGGAAGCCTTAAAGGAAAAAAATGACAGATAAGGTTAAAGTTAGCATTTGGCCTTGGGAGCATAGCTATTTAAGTCATATAGCTAAAGTACTCATGTTAATGTGATGTGGATAAATAAACATTAAAACTGTAGAGCATCTCGGTGTCAAACCTGGGTGGCTTCCACAAAAAATATTCGGTCTGGGATGCTGAGACTTTCATATCATTAACACAGTCAAAGGTCTGAGATTTGAAGCTGGTTTTTTTTTTTTCCCTATATGGTGTGCAGTTAAAAGTTCTGGTTTCCCAGAAAGGCTTAAACTAGTGTCAAATCTGTAGTGGGACTAAAAGGGTGGATTCTGGAATCAGTTGTATGTCTTGGCCTTTTGTATTCTACCACAGGAACCCGATTTTCTTGAAAACTCGTTGAATATAGTAAAGTACAAGTTCTTGGGCACACAGAAGTATAGGTGCTCTATCTGCAGCTGTGGTGGCTTAAGTCATGGAACCCATGTTTAAATATTACAGATGACAGTATTCTCATTTACAATTTTGCAGTTTTTATTAACTCTTTTTCTAGTTAGACGTGTAGTCTCTAAAGGAGTACACAAATAAAGACAAAGTGAAGGTAGTAATGTATCATTTCTTGTCATTTTTTTAAAAATTTTAAAATTCTGTAACTTGTGGTCAGTATGGTGTGTACAGTTACTCAGTTACTTGTCTTGGTGCTGGGTTGCCAACAGTAGTACAAAATCTGCAGTTATTGCTGGAGCACGTAGAGACAGCTCTGAAAGTATGCTAGTTAGGTTGGTTAATCTTTTGACTCATGGAACTACATGCAGCACCTAAGAATAGTGAGCTTAAGTACAGCTTTTGTGTTTTTAAATATGATATTACAGGAAATTCTGTTGTGCCACAAATGCCTTTTACATTTTTCCTTCATGCATGCGAGTAACGTGCGTTTTTTAAAACTTGTTATGCAGGAATGTTGATTTCCATCCTGGAGAAGACCTCACTTCTGTGATATATTGATTTAGTCTACTGAAAATGAAGCAAGATTCTACTAGAAACACTACTTACACTCTGGATTGTGAAGATTACGTACATGTGGTAAAATTCAATCCGTTTGATAGTGGAGATGCATGCTCCCTCATTGCATATGGTGGCAATAACTCTGTGGTTGTTGGGACATGCAGATTTCAGGTTAGTTTTTGTTATTGTTGATTTTATTACTTGCTTCTTGAAACTTACTTTGCTAGCACCTCAGGAACCCTGGTCACTTTTCTGTTTCCTCTCTCCTCCATGTAATTGGGGGAAAGTTTTACTTGTTTATTGTATTAACAAGTCTAACAAATGTTAATTTTATAGATACTTATTTTAAGGACAGACTGTAGAAATAATTACCTTTTTTTTTTTTATTATTATTTCCCAATTGTTTTTGTTGGATCACTCTTACAGACTGTTGCAAACATAAAAATATGGTTTTTTACCTTGAAGTTGTTTAGTCATCATATTATGAAAGTTTTTAAAATGTGAAATAATGTGTGCTCTGTGTTTTTATACTGTATCTTTTTTTAAAAATTAGGGATTTTTTTTTTTCCTAGATGCTTGGAAATCAACAAGAAACAACTGTAATCTTTGGAATTTATTTTTAAGCTGTTTTCTTCAACTTGCTTCTCTATAATACAATATTGTTTATGTAATATTATAATTTAGGTAATCTAAATATTATTTATCATCTATTTCCCATCTAAAAATCTTGCCAAAATAATTACTAAACTGTTACAATCTAAGAAGATTACAGATATATGTAACTTTGAAAGCAGTTCAATATCGAGTCTGAATTGTTACAAGTGACTGAGGTGCTATTCTGGATTAGCTAACTACCTTATCTCTGTAGGAGGAGGACGTGGAAGTGGAAGGTATGCAATATAAGACTCTAAGAACATTTCATCATGGAATCCGAGTTGATGCCATAGCATGGAGTCCAGAAACTAGACTTGATGCTTTACCTCCCCAGATAAGGTATTTATAATAAATAGGTGAAATGAATCTTTGTCTTGTGTCTGTTTTCCCTAATTCCATATTAGACTCAGTTTAAAGCTTATAGGTGAAATCTAACTCTTTAGGAATCACTGACAATGTTTCTAGACACTTCAGTGGAACAACTTTTCCATTCTTAGTCACTGTTTTATGGAATTTTGTCATTGTTTTATTTTTTTTTTCTCTTCTTGTGCCCTTTGCCCCTCCCACCCTACAGTGAAGTAGCAGTAAATAATTTTTTCCTTTTTATTACTTTAATGAACCTAATATGTAGTTAGTTCTTTCTTTGTACATCTGTGAGGGAGGAATTCTTTTAAGAACTTTACTAAGCATAAGACTATTGTGATGGCTTGCTTGATAAAGCTATTTGTAATGGTCTGCATAGTATGAGCTGTGTTTAGGAGTAGGTCAGATGTTATTTGTGAGACCCATGAAGGTGTAATTCTAGCAAGGTAGTTAACTATTAAATCTGCACTTCAGAACTAAAACGTTCTCAATAGCTTGTAAGCAAGCCTCTTCAAAATCACAGTGGTTACTTACTGCTGCGTTTTTGTACAGTCCTTTGTTTTTCGAAAGTATTTTAGAAATTTGTTTATGGATTTATGCTGTGGTATTTTAAAACACTGATAATGAGGGTTCTTTTTTTGTGCTGTGCCACTTAACTTCTTCCAAGGGAGGTTTCAGTGACAGTCATGTGAGTTATTTTAGGTAATTGATAGTCCATTCACACTTAGCTTTGTGTAATGTTTTGCATTTCTTTCAGGGAAGAAGTATTCTTGGCACTTGTTACACACTGCTTTATAGATAAGTTCCGGTTATAACTCTTCTTGTTACCAAAGTGGAAAAGTTAAGATAGAAGTTTTTGGAAGCTTTTGTGTTTTTGTTGGTTTTGGTTTTGTTTTGTTTTGTTTTTTTTTTCAAAATCTGAATTTTCCTTTGCATGTAACTTTGCAGGTTTAAATTGAAGGGAAACTGATAAAAATTGTTGCTGTGTAAATTGACTGGAGGGCTTTTCTTGGTTTGTTGAGTGTAGGTTTTGTACTGCGGCTTCAGATAGGAAGCTAAGGCTGTTTACTTCAGATCTACAGGACAAGAATGAATTTAAGGTAAGAGCAGCTAAGCTGATTTTTTAAAAAAAAAAAAATTAGTCTTCAGTGAAGTCTAATCTTCAGCTGCCCTTAAGCCCCATTTTGCTTAATGTACT